AGAGAGAGAGAGAGAGAGAGAGAGAGATAATTATTGCACAGTTTATATTACTTGGCAGAGATTTAGGAAAGAAAGCACTTTTTAAAATGCAAAGCTCTAAAGAGAAAGAGCTATGACTAAATGAGAGAAGAATACTATGTAAGAGCCATTATCATCCCCTGCAGGAGTGATTGCTTTCTATGACTGCTTAGAGCCCCCACTGTCCAGGGCCCAAAAAGCAGCTGTTTCCCATGGCAAACAAGGCTTGGAGGTGGGGGTGGACCCTGCATACCTGAACTCTGAGACCCAAGATCATAAAAGACTCTGTTAGATGCCTCCAGGACCCAGGAAATAGGTGCTTCCTGGGAGGGTCAAATCCTGGAGATTTTCAGTGCATGCTTTCAGGCAAATCTGGTTCCTGTGCCCCTGGAATCCCAAGAACCGTCCCATAAATTCCAGGGGCCCCGAAGCCCTGGTGAGAATAGCTGAATGCAGGCATGCCTCTTCCCCTGCTGGGCCTCAGATTTCTTTTTTAAAAAGCCAAGGTAATAGACTAGATGAGCTCTAAGGGCCCTTCCAGCTCCTACACTTTATTGTTCTGATTTCTAGGGAAAAGATTAAGGAGGAGACCCAGTGCCAGTACTAATAGCTAACATTTAAATAACCCTTTTAGGTTGCAAAGTGGTTTACATATATCATCTCATTTAATCCTCACAATAACCCTATAAGGTAGGTATTATTATCTCTGTTTTATTGCTAAGGAAAGTGTGACTGAAAGACTCATCAGGCTCGTACAGCTAGGATCTGAGGAGAGATTTGAACCCAGGATTCCTGACTCTCAGTTTACCACTCTGCCCATCATGCCATGCTGCTTCCCATAGAATGGAAAGAGGGATGGCTCTCGAAGCAGAGAACCTGGGTTCAAATGCAGTCTCTCGTGCTTGCCTCAGACAAGTTACCTATACTCCCTGGAACCCAGTTTTATCATAGGTAAGATGAAGGGAGAAGAGGGCGGCTAGGTAGCACAGTGGCTAGAGTGCCGGGTCTGGACTCAGAGAGATTCATCTTCATGAATTCAAATCTGGCCTCAGATACCTACGAGCTGTGTGACCATGGGCAAGTCACTTAACCCTGTTTGCCTCAGTTTCCTCATCTGTCAAATGAGCTGGAAAAGGAAATGGCAAACCATTCCAGTATCTTTGCCAAAAAAAAACCAAAACAGCAAAAACAAATGGGGTGATGAAGAGTCAGATGTGACTGGAAAATGACTGACAACAAAAAGGAGGAGAGAGAATAGAACGAGACGGCTTCTAACGTCCCTTCCAGCACCAGATCTGTGGTCCTGTGATTTCCCTGACCTTGACTCTGATTCTCAAACTGGTGGGATCATGGCATTCCCCTCTGCTCCCAGTATACTGGAGGCATTTTAGGATTTAAGTGTGGAAGGGATCTTGGGGATCAACCTCTTTGACGTCCAACCCCCTCATTTTGCAGGTGAGAAAACTAAGGCCGAGAGAGAGGTCACATGACCTGCCCAGAGTCACAAAGGTGACAAACGGAAGAGTGAGGTTTAGACCTAATCCTGGGGCTCCAAATCCAGTGTTGTTTCTATGTCCGTCAGGCTGGAATCTTCAGCCTGACAGGAGCTCCTTCCTCCCTGGACCTCTCCCCGAGACCCTAGGTAAGCCATTACCATGGAGTCTCTTCAAGGGAACCCAATTAGGTCCAAATGCATACTTGCAACACGGCCTGCAGTCTGCAGGAGTATTGAGATCATTTCACAGGCCAAGCTCCTCCTCCCGAGGCATATCAAATTAGGCCGGCTTGCACTGTTGTCGTTCAATCGTTTCAGTCCTGTCCGACTCTTCGTGACCTCACTCGAGATTTTCTTGGCAAACATACTGGAGTGGTTTGCCATTTCCTTATCCAGCTTATCTTTACAGGTGAGGAAACTGAGGCAAACAGTGAAGTGGCTTGCCCAGGGTCACACAGCTTGTAAGTGTCTGTTCGCACTAGGAATGTCTTAACATGGAACATCAAAGAATGGATGTAACTTTTTTTTTCAGCCATAACATACAAGGAACAGAGAGGAAGATGAGAGGAAAGAGGGAGTAATGGAAAAAAAAAAGCTTTGTAGGAGAAACCAGGAAGCATTCTAGAGTTGCTTAATCACTCTAAAGTGGAATGGAACTGAAGACCTCCCTCTAGTAGAAAGTGAAAACTTCTCCTTCTACTTCACCTGAAGTCGTCTATTAGTCATTCACTCTCCCTGCTTATAAGGACGATTTTGGGGGAGAGGCAAGAACCGTCTGAGAATTCTTAAAAAAGAGAATAGAAAGGACAGTGTAGCTTTGGGGAGTGGTAGAGAAGGGACAGAAAGAGCACTAGCTCTGGAGTCAGAAGTCCTGGGTTCAAATCTTTTTTTTTTTTTTGGCAATTGGGGTTAAGTGACTTTCCCAGCTAGTAAGTGTCAAGTGTTTGGTCTAAGGCTGGATTTGAACTCAGGTCCTCCTGACTTCAGGGCTGGTGCTCTGTGGGTTCAAATCTTGCTTCTGGTACTACCTATGTGACTGTGAACAATTCACTTTCCCTCCCTGGGCCTCAGTTTCCTCATCTGTAAAATAAAGGAGTGGACTAGATAATGTCTGAGGCCCCTTCTAGCTTGGGGCTTCATAGCCTAGAGTTGGTTAACTTTTAAAAATATGTGTTTTGATGTCTTTCAGTAAAATGGTTTTTCTTCGTAATCCTATATGTTTAATTCATTTAAAAACATTACTCCAAGGAGTCCATAGGCTTCATCAGAGTGCCAAAGTGGTCCATGATACACAAAAAAGTTAGAAATTGCTGATCTAGACTAATATGGATAAACTTAACCCTTCCCAGCAATACAAGGATCTAAGACATCTCCAAAGGCCTCGTGATGGAAAATGCCATCCACATCCAAAGAAAGAATTTGGAATTTGAATGCAGATTGAAGCATACTGTTTGCTATTTTTTTTTCTCTTCTGTTGAGTTTTGTTTCCTCTTTCTGGTGGTTCTCCCTATTGGCTCTAATTTTTACTTACAACATCACTAATCTGAAAATATGTTTAATAGGAATGTATATGTATAGCCTATATCAGATTGTGCGCTGTCTTGGGGAGGGTAGTGGGGAAGAAGGGGGAGAAAAATTTTAATCTTAAAAGCATATGGAAGTGATTGTTGAGAAATCAAAACAAATTAATAAAAAAATAAAATAAATTGCTGATCTAGAGCCTGTGATAACAAACAGGAACGGTACCAGATTTTTCCCTGAGAAGGGCCCCTTCATTCACTGGAATGTCATTTGATACAAATTCTGCAGCAGCTCAAGGAGCACCACGAATTTCTTGAGGTGAACCCCAGACTTACCTCCACCAGCTTTCCCCCTACGATCTCTGAGGTTTGTTGATAGTTGGGGAAGGTAGCCACAATCTTGTTCCCCTCCATCTTCACTGTGGCCTGAGATAAAAGCAAACACAGCCCCCAAATCGCTGAGTTTCTTCAAGTACAAACCAAACTAGAAACAACATTGGAGCCCTATGCAAAGTGATTGATAACTTCTTGGTGGAGCCATAGAAAGCGAAGCCAGCATGGGGTGGGAGAAGACGGTCTGGGATAGTGAATTCTAGTGTGAAGTCTGGTGGAGGGGAACTCAGGGAGACAAAGAAGCATTAAGCATCTCTAAGGTGAGGTGAGCAAGCATTTGCCTCAGGTAGTAGAGCAAAGGGGGTGAACCTGCGGCCTCTAGGCCACATGTTCCCCACCCCTATGCTAAAGCAAGACTGAGGAAACATAGGTTGGGGGGAAGAAGGCATAGTGATAAATTTCCCCCACACACATTCCTTGCCACCAAACTGCCCAAATATTGCTTTCCTGGGAAGTATGAGCCAATAATAGCTGGGACATAGTCAGCAATAATGGTCTGGCTTGGATTCACGGAGGTACCTGGAATATGGAATATATTTCCTGACAGATTTACGAGTCTGGCTTAATTAATGCCCCAGGTCCCACTGCTACCCACTTGGTTATCCTGGAGACTGAGACAAGAGGGAACAGAGCAAGCTGACCTTTCAGAGAATTAGGGAAATAAGAATGTGTGTGTCCCTGGCCATAGGAAGGACCCCAATCCCTGATGGACTCCCTACGCTGTGAGAGGGAGGATGCATCTGGCTTGGCCATGTCATCCCTCACCTTGAACTTCTTGCCTCCCATGGTCTCCATTTCACTCTCCTTGCCAATAGTGAATTTGTTTGTCACAGTATGACCTCCTGGGTAGTTATTGATCCAGGTAAAGTTGTTCCCATCCTGAATCACCTCAGTGGTTGTCTTGAAGTGCCTATATTTTTCAATAATATCACTGGAAAGTCCTAAGAAAAAAATCACATTTGCTGTTTACAATCAATTCTTCGAAAGAAAAGAAGTTTTGTCTTTTCTCTAGGAACCTAGTAAGTTTCCTCATTTGTTTCCTTTTTTTCGGCAACTGGGGACTTAACCCCCATAAGTCACTTAAGACTTGCCCACGGTCACACAGCTAATAAGTGTCTGAGGTCACATTTGAACTCAGGACCTCAGAGGAGTACTAGCTGTATAACCTTGGACAAGTCACTTCACCTCTGTTTGCTTCAGTTTCCTCATCTGTAAAAGGAAGATAATAAAAATAATAATAATAATAATTGTTGTGAGAATCAAATAAGATAATAATTGTAAAATAATTGTAAATAAGATAATAATTGTAGCACAGTGCCTGGTACAGTGTAAGCCCTATATAAATGTTAGTTGCTATTATGATGATGATGATGATTATTCTCCCCTCTGTATGCTCCATAGTTAGTCAAATTAGCTTTTTTGCTGTTCTTCACGTGAGATACTCCATGTCCTGTCCCCACAGCCTTGCACAGGTTGTCCCTCATGCCTGGAATGCACTCTGTCTTCACCTCCAAATTCTTAGAATCCCTTCCTTCAAAATTTAGTTCAAGCACCCTATCAAAGATTACACACACACACACACACACACACACACACACACACACACA